CTCATCATCGATCTCCTCCTCCCTCCGTCGTTGTCCTCCCTTCCCTCCATCACCGGCGTCGTACTCCCTCCGCCCTTCTCCCTTCCCGCTCCTCCTTCGCTATTGAACTCCTCCTCCATCCTCCATTCCCTCCCTCGCGGTCGATCTCCTCCTCCCTCCGTCATTGTCCTCCCCTTCCCTCCATCATCGGTGTCGTCCTCCCTCCGCCCTTCTCCCTTCCCCCTCCTCCCTCGCTATCGATCTACTCTCCTTCCTCCGTTCCCCCCCTCATCATCGATCTCCTCCTCCCTCCGTCGTTGTCCTCCCTTCCCTCCATCACCGGCGTCGTACTCCCTCCGCCCTTCTCCCTTCCCGCTCCTCCNCTCATCATCGATCTCCTCCTCCCTCCGTCGTTGTCCTCCCTTCCCTCCATCACCGGCGTCGTACTCCCTCCGCCCTTCTCCCTTCCCGCTCCTCCCTCGCTATTGAACTCCTTCATCCTCCATTCCCTCCCTCGTCATCGATCTCCTCCTCCCTCCGTCATTGTCCTCCCCTTCCCTCCATCATCGGTGTCGTCCTCCCTCCGCCCTTCTCCCTTCCCACTCCTCGCTATTGAACTCCTCCATCCTCCATTCCCTCCCGCGTCATCGATCTCCTCCTCCCTCCGTCGTTGTCCTCCCCCTCCCTCATGCATCATCGGTGTCGTCCTCCCTCCGCCCTTCTCCCTTACCCCTCCTCCCTCGTTATCGATCTCCTCCCCCCTCCTCCCTTCCCTCTCTTGTCATCGATCTCCTCCTCCCTCCATCGCTGTCGTCCCCCTCCCTCCTTCATGATGTCGTCCTTTTTTTCTTTTTTTTTTCATATATGAAATTTTTAGTAGTGCACCACTGCTCCCCCTCCCTCCTTCATCGTCAACGTCGCCCTCCCTCCACACTTCTCCCTTCCCCCTCCTCCCTCGCTATCGATCTCCTCCTCCCTCGTCATCGATCTCCTCCCTTCGTCGTTGTCCTCCCCTTCCCTCCATCATCGGTGTCGTCCTCCCTCGGCCCTTCTCCCTTCCCCCTCCTCCGTCACTATTGATCTCCTCCTGGCTCCTCCATTCCCTCCCTCGTCACCCATCTCCTCCTCCCTTCGTTGTTGTCCTCCCCTTCCCTCCATATGCGTGCAAATGCGCGCGGCATGCGCACGCCCCAGCGCACTGGCGCACTGCGCATCCAAGTGTCGCGCAGCGCATCCCACATTGCGCACTGCGCATCGCGCATCCCCGACGGGCGCACGGCGCGCTGCGCACCGCACCGCATTGCGCAACGCATAGATGCGCCGCAAGTATGGTTCTTACGCAGATCTGAATAACTTGACAGTTTAAATTTTCAGTTTTCATATGAATATGAAAGTCTAACTTCAAAGTTCAGAGTTCTGTTTTTTTTCTGATTGTCGTACTCTTTTCTGAAGTGACTTGTGATTGGTCTGTTGAGAACTGGTTTCAAGTGTTGTGTCAGCCTTTGTGAATGTCCGTGTGCAAGGAAGTTGAGCAATAGCGAACTCCAACAATCAAACAGCATCATACATGTGAGTCCAGATAGTCTTGACCTCGAACCAACAGCAGCATTGCATCACGAGAATCACCAAATAAGAACACACCAAGAGTTCATAATTGACAATGCTGAAATAGTCCCATCATCATCAACGAAGAACCAGAGTTGATATCCTATCTGGCGCTCGGCGCCCAGACTACATGTGGCAGATCCTATCTAGCCTATACTACGAAGCCGAAAGATGACATCAACAGCATTCCTGAAGTACGAGCATATGGCAACCAATGTCGCACGCTTCCAGCACCAGGTATCTCTCGCGCTACACTCACAACCTCGTTCCCCAGCTCACAGATGCCACTGGCACCCAAGGACCACCCTGCGCTTCACCCAGCTTACAGCAGCGCAGCTCGGCTATGGCTGCGTGCTTCTTCCCTGCTCGCCCGTGAGAGCGTAGGCGCCAGCCAACAAATAGCGCAGCATGCAGCCAGCACCCGAATGCCGAATGAGGAGGCAAGCCCTTCCGTATATCGAAGTGGCCTGCCTGTGTCCAGTCCAGGAAGCTTCCAGTAGGCCCCGGTAGCCTGAGTTCCAGTCACGAGGAGAGCAGGCCTTGGGCCTGAAGCGGTTGCATGTGCCCAACTGCTTTCGGCCTGTGTTTGGCCTGGTACCCGTATCCAGCCCAGGGCCTGCTTCACGTACATTCACACAGGCGGCCCATGGCCTGGGTTCACTCAACCAACTGGCGCTGCGCAACTGCCTGAATTTCCCTTAGTTGCATGGTGGCCAGAAAAGGGCCCTGAGGGCCTCGTCGAGCCTGCCTTCACTTAGGGCGGCCAACGGGCTGCAAAAATGGGGGCCTTATGGGCCTCTTAGAGGCAGTGGCCTCGCACGTGACAGTGGCCTCGCACGTGACAGTGGCCTCGCACGTGACAGTATTGACTCTATTGAGCTGTCAAGTTGTGAATAGTGAAAGACAGTAAGCTGTGGTTAGTACTGCTTATTACTTCTTTTTTTTTTGCCAGTCCAGACATTTTTTGTGTCTGGTGTACTGGTCCGGACGGTCCGGGTCCGGCCCTGTCCGCTTGTCCGGTGCCTGTCCGGATTACCGGACGTCTGGACCAGTCCAGACAAATGTCTGGGCCTCGGTCCAGACATGTCCGGGTCCGGGTCCGCGGTTGCCATGGTACACTCTGGTACATACAAAATGGTGCTTTACAGCGCAGTGGAAGACTTCGATACAAGTCCTGACCTGACCGGGACTGACCTCTTTTACGTAGTACAAGATAGCGAAGCAGAAGGCTAGAATGTTAATGACGAGCCCAATCAATGTCGCAATGCAGACTAAACCTACATCATTTTCACCACAAGGTGTGAAGGGGCCTGGCGCTATACATAGGAAGAGGCACCAGGTCCAGCCATGCGCGACGAAGAGGAGGGGATCAGACAAAGAGGAGGGGAGAGATGGGAAAGTCGTCAACACCAAGTCTCGTTACAGGTCCCAAATAATCCCTCGTCAAAATGTCTGAGGTCCAATGTCGAGTCTGGATCCAAATGTCACCAAGCTCTCTCTCTCTCTCCTTCATAGTCTGCTGATGCAGTGAAGTCAGATATTGAGAGGGTGAGAGGGAGATGGTGGACTGAGAAGAGGAAGAAGAAGAACTCTCTCTCTCTCATATGCCAGGTACTGACCTGTGAAGGYGGCGCTGTGCTGCAGGTACCTTGAAAACGAAGCTGGAGCGATGGCGCTGCAGGTAAGTCCCTCTGGCGTCCGCCCAATCTCTCTCCCTATAGTACTACTCTAGCTATGGCGCCCAGCGCTGAAGACTACAGCTAACGCTACTAGCGCCCAGCGCTGAAGACTACTGCTAACGCTACTACTACTGCAGCGCTCCTCCAGAGTGCTGCTGGCGAATCCTGAAGACGACCTCCTGCCTCCTGAACTGCACGTGAAGTGCCTGGGAAGTACCTAGGAACTACTTACCGGCCTGCAGGGCGGGCCAGTCCTATATAGTGCTGGCCCGTCCGGGAGGCTGCTCTTGCCAATGCCTCAACGTGCCAGACCCTGGGGTTGAAGCTCAAACAAAGGTTGTCTTCAAAATAGGCCAGAAATGGCCTGAGCTAAAACCCTGGTCTGGTGCCTGAGTTTCAGGGCAGGCCGAACTCATGAGGGCCCGGAAATGGCCATCAGTTTCAGACTGAAAACACTCAGGGCCGGAAAGGCCCTGATTTAGCCTGAAACGACACAGGGCCTGTAGGCCCATGTTTTCAGGCTTTCAGGCTGAAACGACACAGGGCCTGTAGGCCCTTGTTTTCAGGCTTTCAGGCTGAAACGACAGAGGGCCTGTAGGCCCTTGTTTTCAGGCTTTCAGGCTGAAACGACACGGGGCCTGTAGGCCCTTGTTTTCAGGCTTTTGGCCTGAAAACGTCACGGGCCTGGAAATGGCCCGTGCAGCCTGTTGCAGGCGCAGCATGTGTGTGTGTGTGTGTGTGTGTGTGTGTGTGTGTGTGTGTGTGTGTGTGTGAGAGAGAGAGAGAGAGAGAGAGAT